CTTCACCGTGATCACAAAGCATTTAAAATTAATCTGATGTAAAGGTATCTGATGTAGGTCTTGCTCACCTTTTCCTGCCTATGGTTTTTGCCTTTCCACATCAGTTTGGAGGAGGTTTTGCCCCTGTAGGGGTGCCGCTGTCAACAAGCAATTAATCTGGAATGGGACCATGGGAAGGTATGGAAGACTGGTGTTGTGTCCTAAAGGTACATTCTTAGCTATTTGCACAAAAAAATTGTAGACGCCTGACTGAAACTGTTTTAAAGTTGGAAGGGACTGCCATCCTTATTATTACCGTTTTCTCTAAAAAATTATTTTTTCTTTCTTCTGTCTTGGAAATAAGAATTACGTGTCACCTGCAAAGTTTTGCATCTCACCTGCAACAGTTTTGTACCTCATGTTGAAACATTTTTACTGCCAGAGTGAGGCAAAGGGACAGATGTACTTTGTGCTCTTGCTAGTAAAGAAAAAGAACTTAATAAAAATTTTAGCAGCCTTTTGCATCTGAGCCAGTCCAAACCCCTCATCCGTAGGAGATGAAGAGTCCTGTGGAATTTTAACTGGCAGGGGCCAGGCAGGGCAATAACCACCCAGCCTTGTTTGGCCTGAGTAAAAGGGATGGATGTTCTGTCTCTGGCTACTCACTAGTAGTTCCACCTTTCTTACCTCCTTGATTAACCATAAAATGTTTGTTGGAAATGGAGTAATACTGGTAAAAAGTACTGATATCTTTCCAGGCCATTTTTAAGTTGTATGTCAGGCAAATGATAGTCCATATCACAGAATCTTATAACAAGGTTTGGATGATTTTTTTAGATGCCCACTACACATGTTCAGTCTCTCTCACTGTGGAACAGCTTGAGCTTTCATCTTAGTTGTGGGGAGTGGACAGCTGCCCGTCACCGTCACTGACCTTAGAAGGATCATCAAGCAGTCCTTAAGGACTCAGCTCGTTTGAAGTTCCTTCTGGGCACTAACGTTTCCCAGTCCCACAGTCATTTTTTTAATGTGGAATATGACTAGTTTCTTTCATTTCATCTCTTTTGCAGATATCATATATATAATACATATTACTTGTGTTATATGTATATATTAAATAACATATATATATGTATATATATGTAGAGAGAGAAAATACAAATGGAAACTGTGTTTATCACTTAAAGGAATTAAAATGCTGGCTATCATTGGTGACCCCATTCTGCAAGTGACATAAAGGTGAATAGGCTGTGCTCTGTGTTGAACTTAAGTGCTGATCTGGTTGGGGTAACAAATCATCTCTTTGGTTAATTTTACTTAGTTATTTAGTTGTTAACCTAGTTGTTTATTTTTGCTCTGGTTTTATTCATTTATTTATAGTCTGTAACACAGTTCCTGGACATATATAGCATCACCCATACTCTGTGTGCGTGTATGTGCGTGTGTGTGGACATGTGCAAAGTCTTGTGTGAACACCCAGTCCTGTTCCTTCCGCCTTTAAAATGGATTTTCCTTCCAGTTTCTCATTCCCCATTGTTCGTTGCTAAGCATCAGGAGAGGCGGTACCAACTATAAACGATGACACCGTTTTCCCAACCTAGAGTGATACCAGTTCTCCTGCCCTGTGCTCTGAGAATCTGCCACTACACCAATTCTAAACCATTGCTTTGAGAGTAAGGCCTTGGCTCTACCATAAGGCCATTAAGTTCCCCTACTAATGACTCTTCAAATGGAGACATTCTCAGTGTGCCTAGTAAAACCTATAGACTATATCAGACATCCAGACTTAGGGGTGGGGGGCCAACTCCCCCGCAGGTCATTACATGGCAATGTATATAATTTGGGAGAAAAGCAAATGAAAACTGTTTTACCAAATAGAATCTAAATTATATAAAGCAGTTGGCCATTATTATATCCATAGGTATGTGTTCGAATAGGTTTCTTTCTGGTAAACTCATTCTATAATCCCAACACTGGCTTAGAAAAGAGGCAGTTCAGTCAACCTATATGTTTCATCGTTTAAATCACCTATGAAATGCTGTAGTATAAATAATTGGGCATTTAATTACCTTAAGAATATTTATTTGTTCACTGATGTGTTTATTTATATTCAGTGTTGTTCCTAAAAGAATCTAAGGAGATCCACAAGGATATAAATAAAAAATAAAATTTAGAGGAAGGAATCAGGGAAAAGGGAATTAAGGGTAGGAAAGTAAGAGGAAGCTGTTTGGCTATTAAAAATCCATGAAGCTCTCATACTTCTTCTGCATGAGGTTGGTTACAAAACTATGCCTGCTTTCTAACCTGGAAGTAAGATAAACACAGAAGATAAACACTTATTCCCGGCACAGAGAGCTCTTAGTATAAAAGATTTTTGTTATCAGAGATGTACTAATTTGTAAAATATGGGGTGTTTGGACTGAGTGTGGAATTGGCAACAAAAGTACTGGAATCTTCTGAGTTATGACTCCCGCAATGGGCAGGGGAACTGGCATACAAACAAAAGCCCCTTGGAAATGTGATGGCCATAAGACAAAGTTTGTGGGTATAATTTCAGGCAAAAACACTATACATTAATTTTACCAACCAATGAAATTAAAAGAATAAAAAGAGTATACAAATTAGTGACATTTTAGAGCAAAACCAGTATGAAGGCATTTTAGATCTACCAGTCCAATATGAATGGTGTGGCTTGAACTGAGGTGTGTACAGCCCTGTCTGGAAGATGCTCATGTTTTCACTGACTGCTCCACAGCTTCTGTGGGGAAGATGGGCTCCAGGGGCGCCAGCAGCTCACCAGCCATGGCACCTGCCCCTTCAAGGGCCTTGGCCTTTTCGGCTACTTCATCCAAGTAAAAAAATGTGTGTTCCTCATTGACACCTATTATAAAAACAACAATAAAGTTTACTGTCTAATTCAGTAGTGCCAATTTTGATGTTATTTGTCACATTACTTAAAGGAGATCAGTTTCAGAATTTTCCAGAGTTGTCAACATCACCATTAAAAAGGATTCTAGAACCATTTAAAACTGAGCCTGCCTTTGGTTAAACGTTAACTGTGTAATACTTCTGTTCAATTTGCATTGTACCCTTATGCAACATTCTGGGACATTTCATGTGCAGTGGACTTGGGGCACAGGCTCAGCAGAAGAGGGTAAGAGGAAGAAGACGAACTAGAGGAAAGAAAGGGCAGTGTTTTGCAGGAACACAAACCGTGGCCGACCAGCTGTTCCTAGGTAAACATTTGCAGACAAATTATTCCAGTCAGGTCCATGCAGGCAGTGGCAGTGTTGTAATGGCTGAGCTTTTGCCAGGATTTCCTTCTCAGTCTCTCAGTGGACAGATTTGGTTTTCCATTGTTTGGTCCCCTTAATGTATACTGACCACTGCCAGTGTCAGAAATTCTCATTAATCTGTTAATCCATTTCAGAATCCAATCCAGGGAGGGGCTGGGCCTCCAGGCACTAGAACCCCTTTTGATGCCCTGAAGCAACTGTTTGCCTTTTGGTGAAGTCTGGCTGGAAATAGGTAGGTCATTTCTGGATCCTAAGGTTTCCACAAGTCAAGGTGACTTAGAAAAGTAATCAAGAGATATGTAGGAACAATATAAATTTATTTGCTTGATAAAATAAGCCTTTATGTTATACAGTAAACAAATTCCCTTTTGACTGCCCTTCTGTGACTCAGAAATAGTCTCCCAATTTTATCTTCATTTCCTATGAATCTTAGGGTGTGTTTAAGATCATTATATATGTTAAACATGACAAACTTATAATTACAATTTCTATTAGTCTCAGTTTTTTTAAAATTAAGGTATCATTTATATACAATCTTACAAAGGCTTCACATGAACAACATTGTGGTTTCAGCATTCATTCATATTATCAAGTCCCCCCTCCACACACACGCCATTGCAGTCGCTCTATCAATGTAGTAAGATGCTATAGAGTCATCACTTGTCTTCTCCGTGCTATACTGCCTTCCCTGTGACCTACCTATATTGTGAGTGCTAATTATAATACCCCTTTATCCCTCCCTCCCCTGGTCCTTCCCAACTCCTTCCCTTTGTTAACGCCTAATCACTTCTTGGAGTCTGTGTGTCTGCTGCTGTGTTGTTCCTTCAGTTTTGCTTTGTTTTTATACTCTACAAAGGAGTGAAATCATTTGGTTCTTGTCTTTTTCCACCTGGCTCATTTCACTAAGCATAATACCCTCTAGCTCCATCCATGTTGTTGCAAATGGTAGGATTTGTGTTCTTTTTATGACTGAATAATATTCCATTGTGTATATGTACCACATCTTCTTTATCCCTTCATCTACTGATGGACACTTAGGTTGCTTCCATATCTTGACTATTGTCAATAGTGCTGCAGTAAACATAGGGGTGCATATGTCTTTTTGAATCTGAGAACTTGTATTCTTTGGGTAAATTCCTAGGAGTAGAATTCCCGGGTCAAATGGTATTTCTATTTTTTGTTTTTTGAGGAACCTCCATATTGCTTTCCACAATAGTTGAACTAGCTTACATTCCCACCAGCAGTGTAGGAGGGTTCCCCTTTCTCCACATCCTTGCCAGCATTTGTTGTTTCTTGTCTTTTGGATGTTGGCCATCCTAACTGGTGTGAGGTGATATCTCATTGTGGTTTTTATTTGCATTTCCCTGATGACTAGCAATGTGGAGCATCTTTTCACGTGCCTGTTGGCCAAACATATTTCTTCTTTGGAGAAGTGTCTGTTCAGATCCTCCACCCATTTTTTAATTGGGTTATTTGTTTTTTTGGGTGTTGAGGTATGTGAGTTCTTCATATATTTTGGATGTTAACCCCTTATTGGATATGTCATTTACTAATATATTCTCCCATACTGTAGGATGCCTTTTTGTTCTGCTGATGGCATCCTTTGTTGTACAGAAGCTTTTTAGTTTGATATAGTCCCACTTGTTCATTTTTGCTTTTGTTTCCCTTGTCCGAGGAGATGTGTTCAGGAAAAAGTTGCTCATGTTTATATTCAAGAGATTTTTGCCTGTTTTCTTCTATGGATTTTATGGTTTCATGACTTACATTCAGGTCTTTGATCCATTTTCTCCTTTTTTTTTAATGATTATATTGAGTCACAAAGTAGGCCTGCTTCCTTGCTTTCATTCTAAAAATTGGCATGCTCCACCATACATTCTATAATACATCTGTCTGAATAGATTCATTTATAGCATCCATGAAAATTTCCTGTTTTGTCTGTACTAAACACTTTCAATATACCAATTGGTTTATACTATCCTAAACTACAAAATAGTTCTAGAATTACAAAGACAATAACTGTTAGTGTCTTTAAATGTCATATGCTGTGTACCTACTTTTGGCCATTACAGTAACATAATGAGTAAAAATGCATATTTGGGGTGTTGCTTCTCCAGTTAGCCAGGCCACGAGGTGCTTCTCCCACCCAAACTGACAAAGGTTTCATTTCATAAGTGGTTTGGTTCATTTCTCTTGAGTCCATAGCGTTTTCCAGGTATATTAAAGTTAACATGCTGCCTACGTGAGTAAAAGGAGTTGTTTCTGAAAGCCATTAGGAAAACGTGCTTCTAACTTCCCCGGAGTGTGCAGAAAACAAATATAATTCAGACCATAACAAAAGGTAAGGTTGGAGATTCCAATCAATTAATTCTGTTGAACAGCATCACATAGTCTATCCGTCAAGAAGAGGAGGGAGAGTCTTAAGCATTCAGGTAAACAGAATGCACTAAGCAGACAATACACATTGTGGCGAATGCCATCCTAGTTTTTGTCAGCACTTATTTACAGTCTTTGGAGTCCCCTGCCCTCCTGCCGAGGGGCTTCTGTGCCCCCCTTGCAGTCTTTGTTCTCTTATTCATGGCTCAGCGGCAACAGAGGGAGAAGGCAGCGCGTACGCAGTGCTCCACTCTGGTTGAGTTCTTCCTCTACAGTAAAAAGGCGGTTGTACTTGGTCACGCGCTCTCCGCGAGAAAGACCTCCCAGCTTGATGAACTGGACACCGAGTCCAACGGCCTAAAGAGGGAAAACAACTTATTTTAAATGGGGACGTCATATTTTGCTAAACGACAAACAGTTCTTCAGGGAGAAAGGACACACTCACTGTATGCTCTCTTGGATTTTCTTTTATAAGTCAGGTTTCTGATTTTTATCTAAGTAAAGTTGCCTGCTTACAAGCTGAGTGCCGAGAGGTAGAGATAGTGCGCTATGCATCAGACACTTTACTAGGCATGGAGGCACTCTGGTTTTCCCTAAGGATATCCTGGGCTTCCCCACGTCATGTTAGGAGGAGAGTGCAAGCACACCCCCCCTCATTTACGTGTGCTCATCATTTTCCCAGGACTTCAATTTTTCTTCTTTTTAAAAGTTCAAAGATTAGCTCTTTGCAAAAGGTAGTTGTCTGGGAGGAAGCAAGTCTATTTCATAAAAGGTTACATGATTTTCTCTGCCAAAGACAGCATTTCCCTGAAATACCAATTGTGATAAAAGCAATGTTTTGGCAATTCTGCAATTAACCAGCTTTCAGCACTTACCAGATCGACAAGGCTGTCATCTGACGACTCTCCCTCTGTACTTCCAAAGACAGCCATGTGCTTGTTACCTAGAAGCAGAGGAATGCTTTTCAGTTTTAGATGGTACAGAAGCAATTATATATATGAGCTTCTGGGATCAAAATTTAAAATTTACTAGAGATTTAAAAACTTCCCCATGAAGTCAATCACTTGACCACCTGAGAATTCTAACCCAAACACTGATATTTTTATTACCCTGGTTTTATCTGTTTATCCCTTTACAGTAGCTTGGATGCCAAACACCAAATGAATGGCATGCTTCATCAAAGTTAACACACCATAAATTGTATGATCTGCTGTTAAAAGGGGGTGTATTATGAAAGGGGGAAAATGCTCAAATTAGATTGACACATTTTAAGACCCCAACTGTAAGACATGATTCAGTTTCATCCATGTTACATGAAGAAAAATGTGCATCTTTGAGTCAAAAAAATAAAGTAAGGGCAAGGGCATCATATGGGGAAGTTGATATCCTTAATAGTAGATTTCAAGGTTCATCATGTAGAATGTTATCCAAAGAAACCTATCATTCCGAATGTTTACTTATTAGAAGAACAGTGTTGATAAAACCTTTGAAATTTGCTCAAGTCTAAAAAGAAAGCATGCCAAAGTTCTTCCTGTAGTTAACAGTGTGTTTTAGAGGCAGGAGCTATAGCAGCACTCTGAAGGGAGTGAGAGGACAGCTGAGTGGCAGGCCCAGGAGGGAAGGCCAGGGCTGGGGCCTGCCATCTACTGCCTGCAGGCCCAGGGACTTCAGGCATACCATTCTGCCCTCCGGCACCAGCCCGGCCCTTGTCTGTCAGTCAGACCCGAGTCCTTCTCCAGACCTGAGACTAGTCTTCTGCCTACCTCCTGTGACCTACTGTTGATGATTAGGTTTCATGCACTGTGCATAAGTGAACCAGACTCCCATGTACTCTTGGGAGTTTACAGTCCGTTGGGATACCAGATGTTAAGTAATTGTACAAGTAATTGTGGCCAGTACTACAAAGAGAAAGTATAGAATGCTATGAGAAAGGTTCAGAGCAACCAGATAGGAATGGGGGAAGTCAGGGAAGGTATATATGTCTGAAGAGGTTTCATTTAAGGTAAAAAGATCTAAAGGACCAGGAGTAGTTAGCCAAGTAAATGGTGCAGGGCAAAACATTCTAGGCTGAAGGAACAGCATGTTCAATGACCTCAAAGTGGTAAAAAGTTTAAACCTTTTGAGGAATTAATAAAAAGCCAGTGTGAGCAAGTGGGATCACTGTGGTGGCATGTGAAGCAGACGGGGCAGTGGCCTTAGCCACCCTTTTGTGGCAGCACTTACTAGAGAGGATGACCTCCTGCATGGGGGCTGTTGGTGGAACAGCCTGAATGAATCCAAAGCTGCATTTTGTTTTCCAGCACCAAATCTCACAGATGGTTGGAATTTTCTTCTTCCAAGATTTATTCCATGCTTTTTATCAACTTATATACAGCTTATATATTTTACATACAAAAATATATATGTTATATATATATTTTTGGCTCCTTGTATAACCAAGTTAAGTTCATTAGGACTCTTCAGATCTATATGTTTACTCACTGTCAATAAGATCGGTTATTTCCACCAAGTCGGATATGGTAGTTTGATTTGTGTGTTTTATGATCAGCCCACTGGACCTGGGGGTGCTGATGTTACCATCTTCCAGAAGCTTAGAAACGCTCCTGGATGCAGTGCCTGCGATTATATGACACCTGGAACCGAGGGCACTGTAGATGCTGCCCCACTGTTCAGAGTCCTGGGTAAATATTTAAGAAGTGATCATTACAATGTATTTAACATAATCACAAAACAACAGGAATCATATAGCACATAAAGTTATCCACCCTTCTGAGATACACCAAACAGTTTTCTTGTGCATCTTCAGCCGAGTGATACCTGTACCACAGCTACACAAATTAACAAGCTTCATGGGAGAGACACTTAAAAGTGATTAAATTTGAACTTAAAAATCTAGTGAATTTAACTCCTGTTAAATGCTATTCTCCATATTGGTTCTGAAGTCCTTCAAAGCCAGTCTATTCCCACCTATTGTATTCTCTAGATTGCTGCTAAAGACTGGCTGGTTAGATGATTTTACTATTATTTCTGGTAAACAGACAACTAAAAGAAATAAGCCTATAAGGGCTTTGGGCCCTCATTTTTAACACCTTTACTTTTTATTGGTGAGACTCCCATATGAAATGAAATACTTATTATTTAAAAAATGAATATACGTCTTCCCAGACATGGTACTAGATTCCAGCCTATCCCATTAGACCCTACGTGTGCAACTCATCACATTAAAAACAAATGAAGTCAGAGCCCAGGACAAGCTCCAGAGGACAGGGCTGCAAGACGGAAGGGCTGAGCTCAGAGTCGCACGCGAGTATTCGGTGCTGCCCAGGAAGGACGGGCCTGGGAGGCCCTGGATGCCAAGCGCCCAGCATTCTTCTTGTTGCCCAGTGTACATAACTGTCTTATCTCAGAGAGCTTATCTGTGCAGCATTCCTAATGGTGCTCAAATTCAAGTTAAGAATTTCAGTTTTAGGGTTTAAGTGGGTTAGGAAGAGAGATGGTCTTCATGTAAGCAGCCCTTATCAGATGCATTAGTTTGAATAGATCAGAACCCCTCAGGATCTCACACCTTTTGAGAATATGGCTTTGTTACTTTTATGTATGTGTGGTAACTAGATTTAGGCTAAACTCATTTGGCCTAGTTAAAGTCCTATGTCCATGAGCACTGGAAGCTGACAGACGCTTGGCCTGTGGAGCACCGGCCAGCACAGCCGACTCGGCGTCCGTCTGTCAGGCTGTGTGTAAATGCCCGGGCACTTCTGTGCTGGTTTCATTCTGTAGAAAGGCATATGCCTAAGTAACTGCTTCTGCTGTTCGTTTGCTTACTCAGTGCCTTTTCTCATAAATGCTGAAATAAAACCCCGTAGCCCCAGCCCAAATGATATCATATTTTGAATGACAGATCCAAAACAATGAGATTTTATTCTGTATTTTATCATCAAATACAAGGTGAACCTGTTACCTCCTTCCTGAAAGGATCGATTAAGGCGATAATTGAGGGGAACTTGCTGACCAGGTCCACATACAGGTCAACCATCTCCGCTGCGTGTTTGTAGGTTCCCGTCATCACTTCATACTTGCCTTTACTCTGGTAAGTGTGAGGAAGACATTAAAATAAGGATGAATGACGAATTTTTTAGATGTTAAAGATGTGATCCAAATTCATTTTCTTTCATTTTATATAAAAGACTGTGAACAGATCCTTTTCCGGCCACATTCACATGAGAAATGTATGCATTTTACTTTAAATATCTGTTAAATATTAAACTGGGGAAATCTATTCCTCTTGATGCCCCACGGAGCTCTTCCCACTGATTTCAAATGAAGCCTTCTGCACAAAAAAATGAGTATAGGATAGGAGGCAAATAATTTCTTGCTTAGGTTTATGAGCCGGTGCCAGATACTTGGCTACTTGGGCAGATGGGCAATAACACACATTCATAAAACAAACAGAATAGCAATGCAAATCTGCCCACTCACTAGAACTCACCATTTTTCAACTCACAGTAAACAAATAACTTATTTCCTCTACTGTGAATCCTCCAAAATTGCAAAACAGGGCTAGGTGTTGAAATACTAATAACAAATATGAAATATAAAGTGACTCATGAGCAGGTATTTGTCAGGTAGCATGCAAGTTCTAGTAGTGACAATATTGTCTTGAAAGTAGAATTCTAGGGCAACCCCAGTCATTCCAAGTCTGCAATGCCTCCAAGTCATCAAGGATAGAAGTTAACAGGCTAAAGGAACCAGTGTAGTCTCTGCAAAACACGGCACCCTTACTTCTAAGTCTATGTTCATAGATGGCACCTGGGACTTTAGGTGTTGGGAGGTCGAATGGGACAGAATGGCTGTTGAGATCACTGATGCCCTCCTGCTGCTAATAGAATGGATTCCAGTGGAATTAAGCAGGTTCCTAAGAAATTTGCAATTGAAAGGATTTTATACTTTCTTCTCATTAAAATAGCACCAAGAACTTTTAGTTTCTATAGTACAAAGCTTTAAAAACCTATCTTGTCATTAAGGAAATGCTAATGACTTTGAACTAACATTGAACTGATACCAAGCTAATACATTTCACTGAATATAAGCAATAAATACCTGTTCTAGTTAGCACTAGCAGTCAGTATATTCATAGTTCTTGCTATACGTTGCTCATGAAAACATGCAATTATTTTTCTTAATGGTATGCCTAGGAACCAGTCATTATGAGAAGACTAGGAAATTACATTAAACATTCCTTTATGTGCTTGAGTTTCTTTAGAAAACTAAAAGAACTTTTAAGTCAGCTGAAACTTGGAGTTCTTATGTACTGTTCAAATTTCCCTTTGAAGTTAAAAGAGTCACAAATTAAAGTGGAATCTTAATCTGGTCAGGTCCCCTGAATTTGACATTAATTACCAAGTCACCATAAATGTATATCAATATTCTGGGCATTGTACAAAACTTAAGACTGGGCATTTATATGTGTATAAGAGAGGTAACTGCTAATAACTTTTCTAACATACCAGTTTCCCAAGTTTAAAGGTGCAATGCTGGTTACCCTAAGGAAGTGAGGACTGCAACATTTTTTAATGAACCTCTTTTCCATTTTCTTTCTTTTTAAAATAACTCCCTCCAGGAGTGGGTGGCTCCCAGGTTAGGTTTCATCTCTAAAGCTCTGTCCTAACCCAGGGTGTGGATGACACTATGTTGGGCTTAACTGGATAAAAACATATTCTCCATAAACTTCAATAACTTGGAAATATTTTAATATTTAAAAAGCAAGTCAGAGCAAAACTCCTCATGTCTTGAAGGGCTTATCAAGTCATAGTTACAACTGACTCTCTTTTCATGCTTGACAGATTCAGCATCTACCAACCGAATAAATGTACCCAGCAGAACATACTAGTTTGTGAAATTATTTTTCTGTCATTCTCATGATTGTAATGTAAACAACCCATTTTGTCATTTTTATTACAGAATTTTGGTATAATTACTATGATGTTTTCTGTTAATTTTAAAATTATATGGTTATGTTATTTTTTGGTCACTAGCTAACTTAGCTTCCCCAACTCCATATATTTTTGGACCCCTCATAACAACAGTAATATAGAAAAATAAGATCTGTTCAGAAAATATAAGTTGTTCTTTTAAGTTCTAACTTAAAAATAATAAGACCTCAACAAAAAGTATTCTGGAGTGGAAACTTACATAGTCCACCAGCTCATGTGCAGCACAGTTGATGGCCAGATGCAGCTTTGTTCCCATTTCTAGCCCCAGGTTTGCACAGATTCCTTGTATTAGGAGCAGTGGCTGCTCTATGGTGTCATAATTAATGGTTAAACACCCAAGATGGGACATCTTGCCAGTGACCTGCTGCTGCAAGATCAAAAGAAAATGATGCATATAAATATAGCACATCGAGGCTCTTGGGACTTCCTGGTTATACATGAGACACGGTTTATTGTCAGAAGCCTCTCCAAACACAAGTCCTCTGATTCTCAGTTAATTTCACTGCTAGGTCCCACTCATCTCTGCATGACCTTTGGGCATACAATTGCCCTGCAGTATCTGGGAGCAATCTTCTTACTCTTCAAGTTTTCAAGTTTGACCTGGGAACACACTTTTCTCTCTTTAGTGTGCCTCTGTTACTGCTTTATCAGCTCTGCCATCGGACATGGGATAATCTGAGCCATGGCCACCAGGTTGGTGACTCTCCAGGCTGTCCCTATAAATGTCTGTCCTGCCTGTCCCCTCTTTCTGCCCTCTTCCTCCACACCTGCTTTTTCCTATGTTCCATTTTCCTTTAGAAGAATGTAATTGTTAAAACTTAAGAAAATGTGACCTTCAGGAAGGGTGTTATTTTTAAAGGGATTGAATGCTTCAGTTAAAAGGATGCAGCACTGAGGCTGGATTTTAGCAAAAGGAGATTAGGGGACCCAAATGACCCCAGGGAAACGCAGCCATATGCTACTATTGCCAGGTCAGCCTTCATGTGCCCTCATCATAAATCGCCACTGTGCAATTATAACCTAGAGCAACATCAGTAATTCTGGGGGCCTCAGGAGTATGTGTGCCTGGGTACCAAACTCAGGAGCAAATGTGAGCCTAGGTATAAATAACCCATTTTTACTGTGGTAGCACTAGTTAATTATAAGAACCATCCATCATTTTTAATGTCAATGAGAGGAGCTTTTATTTGGCAAAGGAGTAGTTGGAGAAATTTCTGTGTATCAGTTGAGTTTTGTTACGGTCTTCTACACTGTAAAGGTATCACTTACTTGGTGCTTATTAAATGCCAGGTACTATTCTAAATTCTTCAAATAAAGTGAGTACATTTACCCTCACATTGGCTCTAGGAAGCATGTACCTTTATTATCCCCATTTTACAGAAAGTTAAGCAACTTGGAACAGATTGTAATCCAGGCAGTTTAGCTTCAGATTCCATGCCTCTAACTGGTATGACTCTCTCTCCACAGTCTACCATCTAACATGTTTCTAACAGGAAAGAAAAAGGAGTAATAAAGCTGATCTTGGGAGGGGTCCATCTTGGTCTGAGTTTCTCAGGACAATAAGCCACTTGCAAGCACGCGGGGAGAGCGCTTGTTCGCCATCCCCTTAGAGTATTGGGGCCACTGCAGCATATACGGCTGTCAGGGAGTTTACTTTCTGCTAAGCTGTTTGCACATTGCTCTTCTCTCTCTCTCAGTTTTGAGGAGGAACTTAATTGTTTATCTTTGCCAAGCCCTCTCTTCCTTTACTAGCCTCTCTTGCAGATGTGATGACTTCAACAGACTCTAAAGTCTCTGACGTCACAGGAAGGCTAGTGATTGCACGTTTCTTAGAACAGGTATTGCTTGGTGAGCAGCCCTCATTCATTATCTCCAGGGTTCTCATTGTTTGTTCTAAATACATGGTTGAAAGGCTAGTCATGTAACAGAGCATCCGAGCGCCTGCAGACCAAAGCGACGGACCAAGTTTCTCTGGTCTCCAAGGCTCTTGCGCCAGCCAGCTTGCACAAGAGCTGTTTGTCTGACTCTACCGGCAAAGTCTGGGCTCCAGCAATGGTTCATTTGAAATGGCACTTCGGTGCCTTCTGGAGGCCAGATGAAAGGAATGGCTGTCTTTTTGTACCCTTTCTTTCTCTCTTTGGTAGTAGTAAAATTAAAATCTAAAACATCCTATATGCTCAGCTAGTCATCGGAGAGATTCCCTTTCTCCATTACTTCACCTGTAGGGTTTTAAATATAATCCAATTCCTCATAAATGCTTCTCTAGACCCTCTGGGATTTCAGTTGGACAGACAACTGCTGGCAGGGACAAACAACCTGTTGCCAGAGAGGTGTGGGCAGAATGATATTGCAGCTCTGTGGCTGCCTGGTTTAGTGCTTGCTCCCGAAGTAGCATCAGGGAGTAATTTCCATTTGTGTTAGCCCAGGTCCTGGAGCAAAATGATCACGTGAGAGGAGAGAGGGCAGGGAATATATAAATGGATGAGCCACACAGGTGAGGCAAACACACACACATACTTACTTGACTTATTTTGCCTCCATTATGCCCTTTCTTTGTCTCTGCTTTGGGAGGAGAGGGCTATGGGACAGAAGATAAGACATGTCACTTGGGCATTTCAGGTATGTCTGTGGCAGCAAGTGGAGCCCCCGGCTCTCAGGACTGCCGACTACTCTGGGGCCCAGCCAGTCATGCTGTGAAGCGTGCACATACATGTAGGGACCATGACAGCCACTCTCTACTTTTATAAACCCCTAACAATTTCTCAGAGTCAGGCACATGTTCCCTTTAGTTCATCCTTACATCCTGCCTCCAATCATACATAGAAAGAGTATGCCTACATACATATTCACGTATTTCTACTCATAAATATAAATCATTAGTCATACAAAGTCCCTTCCTTGTCCTTAAGGAGTAACACCACTGTGGGATTTGCTTTTATAGGCCAAACATATTGTTTTGAGTATGTCAAGGTACAAACACTTTCTCCTTCAGGGTGGATTGGACTTCTGGAAACAACCAAAGGTCACTAAATCTGATGAATCTGGTATGTGCAATGTTATTTGAGATTAAAAGCAAAGATAATTTCCAAAGAGTACTGGTAATTACCGATCCGCACAGTTTGGGAGTATTGATAGCATAGTGTAGCAAGGACTTAGCTTTTTAATGGATGCCTTTTCATGCCCAGCATTTCCTGGCTCTGTAAGCTGGGGCATATTTGTCAAGAATCAGCATGGTTCAACTCAAGTATATATGCAAATATAATTATCTTGCCTCTTTTCACTATGGAGTCTGCCGAACTTTCTATCCCCTGGTAAAAATCACATAGTCAGGAAGCAAATGGATGTGTGAGGCATGTGAGAGACGGTAGTGAACAAGACAATCCCGGGGAGAAGATGGGGAAGATTTGGGGCAATGCGGGTTACAACCAGGGAAGATGGGGTGTGGGCCGCAGTGCAGAAACAGGGGGCATCATTGTGTAAGGGCAGGGGACTGCAGAAGCTGACACTCGGGGGCTCTGTAGGAGTGCCATACCCTCTGGGGAAGAAGTGCCCATGTGGCCTAGAGCCAGGGAGTATGACCTTCCTGAAGAAGGCTTGGAGCAGAAAGCCAGTGCCTTGACACAGGGTTTTCCAGCCTTGGCACTATTGGCACTTCGGGCTGGATGACCCTTGGCCATGGGTGGCTGCCTTGTGCAGCGGAGGGCGTTCAGCTGCATCTCAGGCCTCTCCTAACTAGCTACCATGACAACACCTCCCTCCAAGCTGCGACAGCCCAAAGTGTCTCTGGGCACCATCAAGTGTCCCTTGGGCAAAGTCACTCTCTGTTTAGTACATCAAAATTTCAAAAGAAAAAACTCCCTATGATTCCATAAAATACAGTTAAGAGGCCTGCCACGTGATAGAGAAAAAACATATACAGAAAGGATCAAAAGCTTTATTATGAAAAGAACTTTAATAGCTATCAGTAAAAGATGAACAATTCCATAAAAGGGCAAAGAAATAAAGCAATTTGCAGAGTGATTTGTGCGTAATTTTTATATTACTTTAAATACAAACAGGCTGTGTGTGTGCGTGTGTGTGTGTGTGTTTGGAAGGCCATACACTAAATTTTTAATGGTGGTTACTTCTAGAGAAGGGACTGGGACTGAGGGTGGTAATTGGTGGGGGATAGAGAGTAGGTGGGGGGGGTGACTAGCTCTACCAGCATTTTCACAAGAATGTTCATGAGCTACTTGTACAATCAAAAAAATCAACAAAATATTTGAAAGTCAGGATGATAGCAGAAAGCTCAAATATCCTTAATTTCCTAATATTCTAAACTGGATTTCCTCCACCTGCTCTGACAACCCCACGATGCATTACGCAACTGCTGTGCCAGCTCCTGCTCTGAGCACTGCATAGATTCAACTCGCTTACTCCTCCCAATCTCCCCATAAGATGGATATTCATCATACCCATTTTGTAGATGAGAAACCTGAGACAGAGAGGGTATGTAATTGGCCCAAGGTCACACAGCTGGTAAAGGGCAATTTGTCCAAGCCTGAGTCTCTGCAGGTTGGTCACCCATAAAAGCACCATGGGAAGTAGCTCCAGGCTGGTGCTTAAAGCAGTTCTGATCAACTGTAGGGCTTGGCCTCTGCCACCCATCTGCAACACGTCAGGGGAACCCCCTGTCTGCAGTCACCAGCTCTTGCTGGCAAGACAGCACTGGAGCCCAAGCCCCTTCCTGTCTCACGGCTATTGGCTATTGTGCTCGGCCCCCATCCTACTGGGGAAGGGCTAGTGCTCCCTGATCAATGTAGTTAAGAAGCCTCATGCTAAATGAACGTGGGATCCTGGGTTGAATCCTCTGACAGCAAAAGGACATTAATGGAAAAGCCAGTGAAATTTGAATAAAGTCTGGAATTTAGTTATTATTAACCATTTTGGTTTCTTAGTTTTGACAAATGTACCTTGCAATGTCTCATGTTAACACAGGGGGAAATTGGGTGAGGGGTATCTGGGAACTCTCTGTACTCTCTAACTTTTCTGTAAATGCAGTATTATTCCAAAATAAAGTGTATATGTATGTATGTGTATATGTTTGAGTTTGTTTTTAAGCCCCAGAGATGAGAACTGGGTCTCTTTCCTGGCCTCAGCCCTGCCGTATCACTGTGCCCTGCCTTAGTGGAATGTGACAGAACAAGCAGTGACTCACACAGCTCTCTGACTTCCCCTGGCCAGGGGTGCTTGCTTGCCCAATACCAGGGTTCTAAGCAGATGCAGTTCTAATGTATTTTAACCGTTACACCATATTGTCTCTCACATCTTAGGGGTCGAATCCTTTTTTTCTTTAAAAATCCTAAGAGCCAGCTGCTGCAGAGATCAAAATGAGACTGTTAAGCACCATTAGAAACTGGATCTGTATCCAATGAGGGAATACAGAAGCTTGGCTCACACAGGAAACCCAAAGCAAATTAATACATTTTCCATTTCAGTAGCAACAATACTGAGTTAATTCCAGAAAGAACTGTAATTTGGATACTAGAAGGTAGATAAGCATTAGCAATTAGATACCATAGATTCTCTGTACATACCATTTCCATTGTTTTGGTAATATGTTTCTGAATTTGCTGAAGCATTGCCACACCCTGTAAGTAGAATAACCATGATCTTTCATAACTGCAATCTAGAAATTTTAATATAAAAATTTATACCCACACATGCTATTTCTAACTCAGAATATTTGTAGGGTGCCTGATAAGCATCCTGGCTAGTGGATTCAGAATAATATGGCCTATAAAGTCCGAAGATTAAAGGTCATTTTCAGCCCTCAATTTTTACTTGCTTGAATGTGAATGAGAGGCAATTGCTCAGTATCCTCTCTTCACTGTTCAGAACTGACTCGTTCAGTTGTTGGATCAACTTCATTCTCTTTCATGGTCTCTTGAACCTTCTTGCAATACATGTCACAGGTCACCAAGGGATTCTGCATGATACTGTTTGAATTATATAAACCCAGTGTCACTTAAGAAGTAGAAAAGTGTCTTTGGAGAGGGTGGGATCTGCACACAAAGAATGGCATCTGGGACCCAAATAGCACAACAGATATTAACAACAGAAAAGATCCTGGTGCCAGGCTCTGAACACGATCTGACAGATGGTGGGTGAACCAGATATAAATCCTTAGTCTTCCACAATTGATAAATTATGAGGTAATGATTATTCTCCTTAAAAACAAATTCTTCATCATAAATAAATCATCTTGGGATTTAAAAATAAGTGATTTTCACTAGCTAAATAAAACATCATTCACTGTATTATTAGAGGTGATGGAATTTCTTCATAGTTGTTCTGAAAAGGTCCACTATCGAATATGAACATTCAGTTCTCCCTAATGCCGAATTTGTAGAACTTTTCATGAAGATTTAAAGAGGCACATTAACTCATTCAGGCCACTGAAGAAGGATGAGTTTACTTTACTCAGTAGTAAAGATGCAATTTAGCATTCCTTCATTCCCTATTCCAAAAACATGCTCTTTTGTGGCAGGCAGTCTGCTAGGCCCTGGAGTACTTACTAATCAGAATGGGGTGCCAGGAAAGTGCCAGCTTCCTCTTGTTGCTCTAAAGTGCACAGACTAGTAAATCAAGACATCTCAGCTCCCCCAAAGAACAACCTTCCAGTGTGTTCAAGGCCTGAGAAGTCACTCTCCCACCGTGTTTCTGGGAGTTACCAGCACGAGTCAGAGCTTTAATAAGACAGAGACCTAAGGTGGCCTAAATGTGTTCCCTTTGGTGTGAGGTTTTGCTTACTTCCCTGATTTCCTAAAATATTTTTTCTCATTTTGTATTTAATTCCTTCTCCCTTCGTGTCATAAGCCTTGGGGACCTACACTAAAAACTCATCATTGATGGGGTGCAGGTTTTTAGAAAAAGTCATTTGAGATCATGTAAGGTACTTGTTTAGCTGTTAATCCAGGATGGGGTATACAAATCACTTCTTTCATTAAATTCAGCTTCCCAGGCGATGACTTCCCACAGCTGACCAGGGAGACCATCAGCAGAGGTACAGTAAGCGTGGCTGGCAGTTCCTGAAGTAGAGCAGACAGAGGCAAGGGGGACCAGGAACGGTTGGTTTGTGCTGAGACACTCAGAGCCCCTTGGAATGCAGTGTGATAGGTACTGACCTGCTGGTGCTTTAGTGATGCAATCCTTAAGTACAGAGGCTTATTGCCCAGCATGGCACTGGCTTTGGCCACAGCGAGGGACACAGCCCCTATGGCCATGCTGCCGGAGAGAACAGGCTCAACAGGTTCTGGAGGCCTAACAGGTTTCTCTGTAAGAGTATCCTTCCTCCCTGGAGGGAAAAATATTGATAAGAGATTCCCTTCTATTTAGTATGACTATAATAAAACTATTTTTAATGCTTTACCTATAGGGGTGAAATCCCGGTATAAAGAAAGGTGGAAAACTGAGGCTGAGGAGAACATATTCTCCACTTCAACCCCTAAGAAGTTTGATTTCACCTTCACCCTGTTCAAAAAAAATCCTTAGCCGTGGATTTGGTCTAATGAATTTTAGGATATTTAACATAAACTGCAACACTTCTAGGTGGCAGATATTGTTATCCCATGTTGGCATATAAGTAAAGTAGGGCTTAGAGACGTTAAAAGACTTGCCCACTATCTAACAGGAAGTGAATAAAGAAGGGATTTGGATAGTCTTTGAGTTCCAAATCCTTTGTTTTTCTATACTCCACCATAGCTCGTGCATATGCGATGTGATGCTGAACATTCTTCCTGCCACACGTCTAACTAGTTATCTTTCTCCCAACCCCAAGCTGATGACTTTTTCTACTAGAAATGCCTCCCAGATCCAACCATCCACCAGAATCCTTGCCCATATTTACTCTCAGATGTTCTCAGCCACCCAGGCTGATGTGGTTCCACAGAGCCCGTCATAAGATCCAGCATCCTTCCTGTCCTCTCCTTTCCTACCACTACTGACCTGGGTCAGGTAGGTAAGATAAGTGAGACAAGGTATGTAAGCACCCAGCACAAATACATGCTTAGCAAACTCCTTTCCCCTCCTACTTCTTCCCTTCTCTTGAGTTTCTGGTTCTGTCAGTCAAGAGCAACTGCCAAGTGAACAAATAGTGGTGGTGGCCTCTACCTATACATCAGTAGTGGCCATCCCCACCCTCCCAAGAGATTGGTTTCACATGATTCTTTTGCCTTGTGCAACTCCACTCCCCTCTCTGGACAACAGCATCTGGATCTAGGAAATCAGAAACCTTGTCTCCATGGTCTCTGTTCCCTTCCCGGTTCTGGTACTCTTATTCATGGGAACCCCCACTTAGTGGATGTTTGCTTTGTGCCTAGCACTGTGCCAGGACTAGCAGTGCTAAATGAGGCATGAGTCAAGCCCTTCCATAGCATGTTCTACTGGACAGTCACATAAACAATAGCAGCAGCTGGAGAATTAACTATACTAGTGCAGCTGGAGAAGCAACACATTGGAAGGCATGGGGCAGAGGGCTGCGCTAACTTTCTTTGCTTTAAAATTGCAAAGTTTTCCAATGAAAGTTTTTATTAATATGTGACACAGGTCTGAGAAAATGTCAGTTATCCATATCAAAGGATATGATCAATCTTTAAACATACAGTTGCTTTTTGATGAGTTACTGGAATTTCTGAGGGGCAGTTGAAGGTCCTCTATGCCACCTTTCCTCTCCCCATCCCCAGCATTGCCATGTTCAGTACACTTTGTTAAGTAAGTGTTCACCTCTGCCTAATAAATTTTATCTTAACAAATAAAAATAAGGGTAGGATTAGCTAAAACCCTGCCCAATGTGGTTGCTTCAAGTGAGGAAGTGGAGTGGAGAATGGATGTTACCCAACCTAGGTCTTTAGCAAAGAGACTCTAACTTCAGACTTTCTTCATCACATCTTTATTATTAAAGGTTCTGCAAGATAAGCCACTGACCTTGCTTTTGTCCCTTTTTCTTGGCTGGCGGAGGAGGAGGTGGTGGTGGCATTAGAGATGATGGTGTAGGCACTGTTGAGTCTTCCACACTCTTTTCCAACTCTTTTTTCTCCTTATCTTCTTGTACTTTATTTTCAAAGAATGTCCTTAATGGCAAGAAAACATGACTTCACAATGAGACACTTAAAATATCACTCATAATTTGGGCCATGTTTTAGTGCTGACCCCAATATGTTTCAATAATTAACTCAACTTTTTAGCTAATTCAAAACAAATCAGCTTCAATTTCCAAGGCCAAAAAATAATGATGCTGTTATAAAACCGTGTTTAAGAGCTGAAACTAATTTTGGCATGAAATAAATGTTTAAAGTTTTCACATGCTCATTTTTTATAAGTTATTTGAAGTAAGTAACTTAAAGTAAAAACTTTTAAAGTAAAATTTGAAGATACAGTTTGATTAAGGGCTATTTTCTTTTTGAATAAATGACCATCAGAAGAAAATGAGTCAAGGATAAACAGTGAAAATATACAGCACTATGTGCAGGACCTCTTTGTTTCTTTTTGGGGTACAGTAGGGGGCTAAAATGGATAGTCAAAAAAAAACTTTTGGAAAACCCCTTTTAGGTACATCTACATAAAATTGCAGCTTCCTAGAATAAAGAGGCTAAAAGCTTCCACAGATACAAACAAGCCAATGAAGATCAATGTTAATGGGAAGCAGATTTGCATTCGACTTTTTAATAATCCAGAAGCTGCTGGGCCAATGCCTAAAGTACTGAGAGGAATTTGTTTTAAACAACAATTCTATACCCAGCTAAACTGTCAACCATGAGGGCAAAGAGTGACATTTCTACACAAGTAAGAACTCAAAACTTTACATCCCATATACCCTTTCTCATCCATACTTTTAAAGGATGTAATCCAGCAAGTCAAGAAATAGGAAGATATGAGAGCCAAGAACTGGGAGAACAATGAAGGGATGGCCTATAGCATCTCTGTAGCAGGCCTTAAGGGGACTAGTCCAGATGGGAGGTTTAGGGAGGAAAAATTCCAGGAAAAAAAGGAATGTAATGTGATCGAAGATATGAAAAAAAAACTATATGAAAAAAAACTGTTGGGGAAAAAAATAAAGAATATGATCATAGCAGATAAGGGGGAAAAAGGGATAAGTGGAATAGCATTCAGAAACTCCAAGAAAACCAAAAACCATTCAAAAAACTTTTGTCCAAAGGCTATGACCCAACGCCAAAGCAAATTAAGAGTGATGCTATGCACAACTAAGGGAGTGGTGAAGCTTAGAGAAAGAGAAACCAGGTGACCTTCATCTGGCCAAGATGTGTCACTGGGCCTGCGCAAAAGGAAAAGCAATGCCAACCCATAAGTGGCTGGGCACTGAGCTATACTTACATGATCCTACTAAACACTTCCTTGATACTCACATTCCAAAGTCAGCCTATGGGCAGCGCTTGCTTTGAGACTTGTTTGTGGCTAGAGGACAGACTATAAGCATCACCAACCGTGACTGTGTAAGAGGGTATGAGATGCTCAAAGGAGGCATATGAGGAGCTGGGGAGAGGGAAAGGGCATCAACTGGATTCTGAACTTCACCTTTCCCTGAGAAACTTTACTGAACGCTAGGAAAGCTCTATGCATGAAGAGCCCTTTAGGCCTTGTGCAGTCTGACCTGGTAAAGTTTTAATAACTGGGTTTTCAGCAGGAAAACAACATTTTATGCTAAATTTTGCTGCTTTAGCCTATGCTTAATTGACGTCCCATCTGTACCCTGTAGATATGACAGTTCCATTTTATTGGGTGAAATTAAAGAAAAGTATGACATATTTATGCCAGACGCTTACATTTCAAAGTGCAAGATTTACCTGAGCACCTGATCTACCTCGGCCTGGCTGGAGAGGGCCATGCCCTGAAGTTCCTTGGTGATGGTTTCATTGACCCACTGCGCAGCGGTGTTCACCGCATCCAACCTTTCTGCTACTTCTGCTTCAGCTACCTCAGGTGGGGCATTCTCATGGACTTCGAAGTGAGTTGAGATCACCACAGAACATACGTTCTGAAAGTAACACAAATATGTTCAGCATTTCCCTTACCTCTTGCAGAAAATAAGAAACTAAATGTATCCAGCTTTTTATTTATCACCAGTTTCAAAGGGTAAATGAGAATATGTCATTTTCTCTGAGATATTTTTAAGCTGCTGAAACACTGTGGAACCCAACTTAAAGGGAAATTTTAGAGTATTACCTTTGTTAAAATACTCTTATACAAAGCTTATATTGAACTTAATTTTTATCACTAACTCTCTAGTAAATAGCTAAAAGGATACACAGATTTAATCACAATTATTTTGCTCCCAGAGACTATTGCAACATTACTTGTAACGATACATATGTAGCAGTTAAAATTAATTATTAAAATTATGAAAACAAAGCTTTTGTTTAAAAAGGTCAGGTCTAGATACCTATAAGTATAAATCTATATGTAGGGATTAAAGATGGCAGCGTGAGAGGAGAGACAGAGGCTTCCTCCTAAAACTGGATACATATAGAAAATTTAATTGGCTCAACTAATCCTGAGAGAGCAACAGGAAAGAGGATGGCGTCAGACTGCACACACCTGGAGAAAAGAGCAGACCTCAGCGAACGGGGAAACATACCAGAGCTGTGGCTCTGCGGGACCCAAGCCCTTCCCCCACCCCAGCTCACCAGTGGGAGGAAGACAAACAGAGCAGGGAGGGAGTGGAAGGCTTGGGACTGCTGAATACCTAGCTCCAGAATCCTGCGCTGGGAGCACAAACCTACATTTCATGGGACTTCGTGTGACTACCGGGCTAGAAAGTTAATACAGGCAGAGTTCCTGGGGAGACTGGGATTCTGGCTGCTTGCGGAAAGCAGGGATCCATATCCGGCTGCTCTGGGACAAAAACTTATACCTGTGTGCCGGGCCCACTGGCTCAGGCAGTGGAGACAGGCACAGCAGCCGGGAGGCGGGCAACAGCTCTTTCCTACCCCCAGGCACCAGTACCACTCCCCTGCCACCCCCGACATTGCTTCAGGGGCTGAGCAGCTCCAGAGACTACAGCTTCTGGACACTAGAGGGCGCCAGATACAAACATGAAACGCCAAAGGAACCTTGTCCAGAATAAAATTGTTAATACAACTCCCGAGAAAGATTTAAATGATATGGACCTCGTGACTTCCTGAAAGGGAGTTCAAAATAAAAATCATCTTGTTCGCAAGTGCTAAGAAGGTAGATCCTAAAAATTCTCATCTCAGGGAGTAAAAAAATTGTAACTATATGAGGTGACGGATGTTAACTAAACTTACTGTGGTAATCATTTTGCAATATATGTATGTTAAGTCCTTAGGTTGCACACCTTAAACTGATAGTGTTGTATGCCAATTATATATCAATAAAATGGGAAAATAAAATAAAAATCATCAACATTCTAATGGATGTAGGGAAAGACATCCAAGAACTCAGGAATGAATTCAGGTCAGAGATCCAATCATTGAAGAACACAATGGAGGGTATTAAAAGCAGGTTGGATATGGTGGAGGAGACAATAAATGAAATAGAAACTAGAGAAGAGGAATACAAAGAAGCTGAGGCACAGAGAGAAAAAAGAATCTCTAAAAATGAAAGAATATTGAGAGAACTGTGTGACCAATCCAAGCGGAACAATATTCACATTATAGGGATACCAGAAGAAGAAGAGAGAGAGAAAGGGATAGAAAGTAACTTTGAGGAAGGAGGTAGTTGCTGAAAACTTCCCCAATCTGGGAAAGGAGATAGTCTCTCAGGCCATGAGATGAACAGATCTCCCAACACAAGGGACCCAAGGAAGACAGCACCAAGACACATAGTAATTAAAATGGGAAAGATCAAGGACAAGGACAGACTGTTAAATCTATATGTAAATATGTGAATCGATAAAGCTAACTATAGATTTATAGAACTCATCACATTCATGAGAGTTTTAAAACTATTTTTACCCCATTTCCTTTCTCCATGTTGGATCACCTTCATGTTAGGGTATCATGTCTGTACCAATATTACACTTAAACATAATAGGTGCATCATGGTGGACTGCATGAATCATGCTCTGTGTACATGACTAGTGAAGAACACATGTAAGCTGCATCATACCTTGGGAAAATTTTGAATGGTGCAGAATATTTCCACTTGAAGGGTTGGAAGCCCCAGTCCATCCAGTACGCTTTTCCCCACTACTTTGCATATGGTGGGAGGCTTTGCAAGTTTAGAAAAGCAGTTTGCCTGCAACATACACAAAAGAATGCCACAAAAATGACAATACCACATCTAATTTATCTTTCAGAGGTCATTCACATCTGCTCCGGTTTCTTTTAACCCTCTCAAGGTGTGCCCTCCTCATGTTGGGCTCAGTCTGGCAGCTGCGTGGGAACTTTACTGCCCTCAGGAACTGAGATTTGAAGTTAGCCTGATGCTGAGTCTCTGGTGCATGGGGCAATTTGTTATCTTTTGAACTTTCAACAGAAACTAGCACATGTTTCTGAATTTAAAGGCCCTGTGTAACTCTTTAGCAGGCCCTCACCTATCAAAGATGTGGAAATCAATTGGCCTCTAGAAAACTCTGATGCATTCAAACTTAAGGGACCTTAAGTGGGCCAGTTTTTATTCCCCCCAGCAAGGCATCTGATATTTTTATGGTGAAGACTTATGCAGAGACTTAATTTCACTCACCATCAGTTCATGCACAGAACTACATGTTCAAAGAGGATTGTTGGAACCTGAGTGACAGTAGTTTCATTGGTGTGGAAAAGCAAAAGCCATTTGGAAGTAATCCAAAAAAGGGAAGGGAGAAAGAGAATGAAGCTGAGATAGAAAGCCCAGTGAAGAAACCGGAGTGAAAAGATACAAGTTGGTGTCTCTATACAGATGAGTGGGAGCTAGGGGAGAAGGAGAAGGGAAGTGAAGGCGCGCCCACCTTCATCACCAGGTAATACAGGGCCTTTACAGTTTCACTTAGCAGACCAGGCCTCCGACCTTTCAGTTCAAAATCCAATGACCTCAGTCATATGGCAGGTCATCTAGCACCCATCAGCAGCGTGGCAGTGAAGAGGTGGTGCCCCAGCAGAACGAAAGCAAGAGCAGTTTTCAAGCCACCCATGCATTTTAAGGATAATGGTTTGTATGTCACACAGTGCTTAAATGAACTAAAATCAGGAGAGGAAAAATATTACCTAGCTTATTCTTTGAGTTCAATGCAGTCAGTTATGAGCATCTACAAAGCACCACATACTGTGTTAGGAGGCAAAGAGAGCTAACATTTTTTAAGAGCCTAATATGGACTTTGAAAGAGTGACTATATCTTATTAATCCCTGTATCACATACCACAGTGCCTGGCATATTAAGGATTCAATAAATTAAATCTTATATAAACCAGTAAGTGTCAGACACATCCCTGGGTCTCTGTGCATACATTATGTCACTAAATTCTCAAAACAACTCATTAACGTGAGCAGTCATCTCCATTCCACAGATATGCAAACTGAGTTCCAGAGAAATAAACTGTCTGAGGTAATATAAGCAATGTTTTAATTATTCACTGCTTTATAACGGACCACCCCAAAATTTAGTGGTTTAAGTCATTTACTTGGTTGTGGTTTTGCAGTATGGGCTGGGCTCAAATGTGCCATTCTTTGGCTGGTCTTGCCTGATGTGTCCTATGCAGTTAGTCATCTGGAGGCTTGACAGGGTTCAAAAGATGGTTCACTCATATGTCCACTGTCTCAGCCAGGATGGTAGGAGCATCTAGGGGCTGCTGGGCATCTTTCTCACGGGATATCCTGGAGGTCTCCCATCTGCCAGGGCCTCTCTCTCTACCTGATCTCTCACTCCAGCAGGGCAACAGGACTTGCCTGCAGCCCGATGACTAGCTTCCAAGAGGGAGTGTTCCAGGAGCACAAGGTCAGTATGCCAGCACTTACCAAGCCTCTTTGCATCATGCTTGCCAAGGCGCTATTGATCAAGTCACACAGCCAAGTCCTGAGGGGATGTGGGATGGACTTAACACCAGACCATTCACACTGGCGGTGTGGTTCACTGGGGACCATCAGTATAACAGCCTACTACTGCTACTATGTGGCAGGGCTGAGAATGAAATTCGGATCTGCCTGATTCCCAAGCCCAAGGTCTTCCAATTGTAAGTTGTATGATGAAGGAATAGATAGTATTGCTGTTGTCCACAGGCATCTTCCTCAACCCTGAATTCCTCTAATAGGAAAGAGAAGCACAGAAGCTGAACACAGGATGTGTAGTAGTTCAACAGGTGGGAAAAATACAAGGGGGAGAGAAAACAAGAGCAGAAGTCGAAGGCTGATACTTCAGGGAGAGAGAATAGGATAAGGGAAGGGGAGGGAGTGGGAAACGTCAGGGTTTTGGGAACAAGAGGTGGGCCTGTGCAAAGGAGCAGAAGCCCGTTAACTGAGGCACCGGCAGATAGTATGCAAGAGGGAGCCACAGGAGGTTTCTAACCAAGAGGACGATGGGGAGATCTAGGAAGAGCAGCATTGCTCTGCTGGCATTAGGTGGGATGGACTCAATAGGGGGAAAAACTAAGTGAGAATAAGGATGGCCAAAACTAGGGCAGCGACAAAATGAAAAGGTTACCTTTTCACCAGTGCAATTTCTGAACATCTTGCAAAGTCAAAGCCAAAATTTTTCCAGACCCTATGGCCTGCAGGGGTCTTCCCCATCCCTAACTTCCTTAAACAGGCATACAGAGACCTGTCCCTCAGTCTAGCACACAATCATATAGCACCTTATGTGTTATTCCAGTTAGTGTACGAATCAGTGGCTTCCATCCCTAACCAAGGTATAGCTCCCAGAGAGCTGTACAACTCAAAGGCCTTGCTGCCTAACAGACTGGGAAGAACATTACACTTGGGAACCAGAGTCCAACTTTCTAGCCTGAGATTTTGAACTAAGTAGCAGTGAGAAAGGGATTGGTGTCTTTATAAAATGAGGAAGTCAGACTAGTCGGTTTTCAAGAATTCCTCTAGAAAGAGATTGTGGAAAGAGGATGGGATCAGTCTCATTCAGTCATTCATCCCACAAATAGTTCTTGAGGGTCACTGTGTACCATACCCTCTGCTGGGTTGTAGGGACACAGACATGGTTCGTTTCTGTCATCCACTGTGTCCTTCGAGAAAATCATTTAAATTTACTAGGCCCCAGTTTATTTGTAAAACAGGTATCATATTTGCTGCCTCAGGGGTTCTAAAGATTAAGAGAAATAACATACAAAGCACATAGCACAGGGAGCCCGCTAAACACTTCCCTGAACGCCCCTCGCCCCATACCTTTAAAGTATAGGCCATGACTGAGAAATACAAGCATTCATAGAACATCCTCTATATCAACCGCCTCAACAAGCTGTGGTTTTGGACCCTGTAAACACAGTGGGCTTCTGCACAGCACTTACTCTGCTTGGTGGTGTCACATTGTCCTACCATAGTGCAAACTCCTGCCAGTCCCAGCACACTGCCTTCTAGAGGTTGATTAGTACTTATGAATCTGGAAGGGAGAAAATGTTTGCCTTTGTTTCAACTGCTCACTGTTTAAGGCTAAGGTATGTGCCAGATCTCGTGTTGAGCACAGGGACTAGGAAGGTGGTAGGCAAAGGACCCTGCTCTCCGTGGGAACTCACAGCTGCCTAGGGAGGTTTTCAATACATGCAGGAAATGCAATAGGAACACTGAAGGGCAATTAGTTCAGGGTGAAGTGGAGAAGACTTTGGTGTGAATCAGAAGTGTAGGTAGGAGCTGGTCCGGTGGGGACCAGCATCCAGGCAGAGAAGGGCTCCCATGCCTAGGAGCAAAGGCTTGAAATCGGAGACACACTTGGTAGCAATGGGAGCGGGCAGGGTATGAGGCCCCGGGGTAGCTGAGGCCATGCTGTAGCAATGCCAAGGCGTTCATCCCGTGGCAGAAAGGAGGCGGCTGGCGGTTGGTAAGCTGAGCTACGCGGTATTTGCGTTTAAAAAGACAACTGGCAGCTTGGGGTAGTGAGGAAGCCTGCCAGGGGCCCTGAGCTGTCGCCTTAGCTACAAATACTCCCAGTGCCCGCGTTCCTCCAGCTCCTTCCGGTCCAACACAGTCTCTCTCGAGATTCCTTCGCCCAGGTTGCCACTTTCCCTTTCCACAGTCGCCACTTCGGGCGACCACGACCCCCCCGTGGCGGCAGCGCGCGTGCGCGGTTCTGCAGCGCAGGCGCAGGGCTTTGCCGCAGCGCGCGGCGGGAGGAGCGGGGTTGGAGGGAGGAGGGTCCTTGTCCCAGGTCCCTACCAGGTGCCCGTAGACGTCGGCAGGCTGGAGGTAGAAGGTGGAGTTGAGCAGTTCTTCCAGCCTGCGCGGGACGTCGTTCTCCCGGTAGTACTCCATCGCCTGCTGCTTCAGCTTCTGCAGGTCTCTAGTGGGCCCACTGCTGCAGCCGCCGCCTTCCCCCATGGTAGGAGATTTAAGGCTACAGCAGGGGTTAGCCGGGGGCCCGCGAGCGTCCTTCACGTCGCTAGGCAACGCAACGAGATCCCGACCCCAGATCTCGCGCGGCTTTCTGCTCGGAGTTCTTCGCGGCCTCTGGCGCGCGTGGCTCCTCCGCCCTCCTCCCTCCCTTTTCCGTGCAGGATGGCGCCCCAGGATTGGGCTCCGCAACTCCCGACACCAACCCTCTCCCGGCGTCGTTTTTCATCACTTTCCCCGGCGGGTTTCCTCATGGGGTGATGGTTACCGCTCTCCGGAAGCGATTTTTGCAGCAGCGTGAGAGCGTAGCCGCGGCCTCCTGCCGAGGACTGGAGCCTCAGGTGGCGCCCCTGATTCCTTCCCCTGGGACCGGGGCCATCGGCCTTCCCCGCCCACCCCCTCGTTCCTCACTGTGGGCGAGCCTCTCTGGGTGGCAAGGGCGGCCGGTGCCGGTTCATTACTCTGGGGAGGGGTGTAAACACTCCGGATGTCCTCGCTGGACTGTGGAGGTCCCAGGGCTTCATTAATTCGGCCGATATTTCATTACCTACCCCGAGCCGAGCAGAGCAGTGTGCTGGCTGGGCGCGTTGTGATGTCCAGGAGAGAAATGACCGTGCTCCCCCCTGGGAGATTAGTGGGGTGAAATCAATGGAAGGAAAAAGTGTGGGGTGAAGAAATTGGGGGTGACCCTTAAGGAATGGTTACGGTTTGTGTAGGCCTAGGATTGGCGGGTGATACAGACAAGACGAGGGGAAATGAGAATGGAATATTTACATCCGTCATATTCCTTTTCTAGAACCTTCAGAGGCTTCCTGCGTGCATCCTGCCCTTTTAAATCCAAACTGCCTGCTTGTCTCCATTACACCTACCAGGTGTCATACGCAATTATAGAACTTAATGTGTGCCCTCTGCTCTAGATAATTCTGCCCAGATGGACAGGGTGTTCTTGTTCTACTCTTGGCTGTTTGTGCTCCTGACTTAAGCAGATCACTTAAAAACATCTGTGCTGCACTTTCCTCATCCAGAAAACAGTCTTCCCTACTCATCCAGAAAACAACAGTCTTACCTACTCTGCCTGTTTCACAAGTCATTTAGGAAAGTGAGAAAACACGTTGAAACAGGATACTTATTATCAATAGATGCACTGTAGATGTATAAAAATATGTGATTCTATAAATACTGTTACAGAAACCCAGACATGCACTTCCGAATTCCCTGTGTTTTCTCCCAATCTCTAATGGAAGGTCTCACTTGCTGGAGTGTGGTAGGTCATCGTGGGCCTGCCTTATCCTCCTTGATAGGTTTCTCTCCATGGTAGCTGAGTCTAGTCATATTCACATCCACTGAGAGCCTGGGGCTCTGCAGGGACAGGGCATGTGCTCTGCTGAATAGGTGTTGTATGAACCTTCACACAAAATAAGCCGGTGCTATTGCTACTGATGTTTAAATTGCACCTGTGGGCTTTTCCTCCTAACCCCCTGGATGGAAGGCACCCCTTTCTCTGGTACACCCATCCTTCAATGCTGAGTGAGTCCCGCATCTAAGAAGCCATGCTGCACACCAGCTTTCCTCACTCAAACTTCCTTTTTTTTTTCCTGAACTCCTTCCCCATTTGCAGCATGGGCCACAAAGTTCAGCCCTCAGGCATGTCTTGACTCATTTGACATTTTAATGGAAGATTGAAAGTTCCCTGGGCTGGAACCACCATGTCTTGGAGTCTCCCTCATATAACCCACTGGCCTCTAGTTTCCATGACGACAGGGACTATCTCATTCTGGTCTGTTTTGTTCACCATTGCATCGCCAGCATCAGCACATTACCTGAGAGAATAGCAGTTGCTCGATAAATATTCGTTGAAGGAATGAATGGATTTTACACATAATAAATGCTTAATAAATGCCTCAGTCAAATGTTTTGGAGTTGAGTGAATAAAGAGTTCACCAGGCTGGCTGGAGCAAAGGGTTTGTTTTCAGGAATAATGAGAAAGGTAGAAAAATAGTTCAGATGAAATGATGAAGGTACTGGAATACTATTCTGCAAGAGCAGGAAGCAGCCCCATTTCTGCATATGGGAAAGGCAAGATGGAAATGGTCTTTTAAGAAGTCAACTGACAGCAGTGGAGCAGCTTCCTAGGTGTTTTTTTATACAGAAAGCTGGAGAAACAGGCAGAAAATAATACAGGTGTAAGGGTCTAAATGTAGTAGCAATAGAAGAGACAGGTGAGAGAACAGAAAGGAAGGAAGGAAGGATGGAACTCATTTTGAGGGACTGTGTGGGCTTGGGGATCCAAAAACGACTCCATGGGGGCTGACTTGTAGAATGCCATCACAGCTGATGGAAATGGGAGAGTGGTCTGGCTTTCATGGGGGAACAGGATGTGTTTGGTTTTAGACATGGCGCTTGAGGAGCACTGGTATCCCAGAGAAAAAGGACTGAAGATAGAGGTTATCAGAATCTGCATAGAATTTAAAGTCAAAGTAAGAATCGATGAATCTTCTGGAGGGAAAAGGGAAAAAAATCCTCTTAAGGAACTAAATATTGGAGAAGGACTATACTTAAGACATACCAGGAGGGTAAGGAGCTATAATAGAAGCAAACATAATAGGCTTAGAGAAAAAGGGAAAAATAGAAATCACAGAGTCTAGGGCAGAGAGTTTTGGGAATGTGTCAAATATGCATGTGTGTGTGTGTGTGAAGTCTGAAAGGATATACATTAGCATGTTAATTGTGTCATCCTGTGATGGGATCGCTGGGAATTTTTGTTCTTTTCATATATTGGTAGTATCTGATTGTTCTCAAACGTATGCTTGTATAACTTTGAAAAAATACATTAGAAATATTTGAGGAAAGGATGTTAAGTCAAATGTTACGGGAGAATTGAAGGTTGAAAAGAGATTATTAGAAGCTCAGTTGTTCCCTTATAGAGTCATTCCATCTTCTCAAATAAAAACAAAGCTACATATAGGCTAAATAAATAAAACTACCATTTCTGCTTACTTCTGTTATTCACTCAATCAGAAAATATTTATGAAATGCCTAGACACTGTTCTAGGCACTGGGGAAAAAGCAGAGAATAAAATAGATAACATTTCTTCTCTTCATGGCACTTAAGTTCTAATGGCACAACTTTCAAAATGAAAGCATTTTGAAAAGTTGGTATGCTAAGGGTTTATTAACAGCCTATTAAGGTTGAATAGATCCAGAGTAAATAAAGTGATCATGAAAATTCCAATTTTCTTGTCTTCTAGTAGGTATTAGAGTATTGGGGTTGGGCTGTAAAATACATCCTTATCTATGCATATTTTATACATACTTACCATATTCCTTGTTTTAGGACCTTGGTGACTATATATATATCCATTTCTTATTGAGACTAAATGTCCAAGGGCACTTAAAGAGCAGCAAGACTGGAAAGGGACTGAGTGTTGCTAACCCGGAAGGCATAAACTGGGGAGTTGAGGAGGGGAGAGAAAGTCAGGCAATGAAAGGAAAGGAAAATCTCAGGAGTTATAGAAAATTCTGGAACATATCCCAGGAAAGAAGGCAGGACTATACTCTCATTTAGAGAGGGCACAGCTCTGACTGTTGACTTCTCACGGATGGGGTACCCTCATTGAAAGGGGTATATGGTGTGGACAAGGGCCGTTTAGGAATCAGGAAACTTAGATGGGTGTCCCAGCTGTTGCAAGATATTCTAGGACCTCATCGATAAAATGAGTGGTTGGACTAGATCAGTGTTTCCTAACCTTTTTGAGTATAAAGATTACTTTTTCACAACAAAAAATTGAGACTCCTCCCCACCCCCCCCCCAGCTCCCCACTGCACCCCACCATGTAATAGTGGTTATACATAGTGACTGAATTCAGTGGTGTGTCTAGAAGCATTTGTATTTCATTCACAGAAACTGTACATATGACAAAAAGTACATTTACAGGCAAGCCATTCCTCAGTGTCGGGGTGTATTTTGTGGACTTTGGGAATTGTGAGCCCCTTGCCCACAGTCCACAGGTTTCTCAGGGACTTTGAGAACCACTGACCTGGGTCTCTCCTTAGATCTCTTCTGCTTTTTAGCTCTTATTCAAGATAAAATATTAGGACATATTAGTTTATTCTTATCTGCTAGTTTGTAGAGGAAATCAGCGATTTTCAGTCTGCATTTCAAAAAAAATTTCTAAGCTATGTCTATTTCCCAAATGAATGAGGATACAGAAAATGTGTTTGTTTGTTTTTCCTTAAAACTTTCCAACATCTTTATTAAATTGGAACTTGTTTGCCTCAACTTTAAATGTTCAGGAGTGATTATTTAGGTGTTATTTTGGAATTGCTATCAAGTGCTTGTTAATTCTTTATTTCCAGCATTTGCCATCTGTGTTGAATATCATTTTTCATAGGGAACAAATGAACATGATAGCAGGTGCTTTTTACCACAGAATCATAGAAACTGGAGACAATAGATGGAAATGTTCCCTTTTCCTCATCCAGAGAATGGGAGTAATGTTACCTTTCCTCACCCAGCTGTCATGAACGAGAAATCAGTGATTACTAGGCTAATTGTAATATAAATAGCTGTAGATTAAATGCTAAGTAATAAAAGTAGGAATGATTTGACTAATAAAAAATGTTTTTGTAATTTGCTTTTTTCATTATTAATGCCTCCTGGCAGTCATTATTACCATGGTAGTAATAATAACAACAAAAACCACAGCAGCAACTACCATTGAAAGTGCTTTTATGTGTCTGGGGCTTTCCTTTTATCATCCCACTGAATCTGAAGAACAACCACAAAATGTAGGTGATTTGCCCAAAGTTACAGTTAACAAATGGTGGAGATGGAATGTGAGCCCAGGTCCCTCTGATACCAATGTCCATGCATTTCCTACTGTGCTCCACTGCCTCTCAACTTCTTTGGTCTCATGTCACCCCTTGCTGGACTTTTGCCCGTTCTCTCTGGAGAAGCCAGTTGAGCTGCTCACATTGAAGGCTTGGTGAAAGGAGCCTGGGTAAATGCTAGTAATCTGTTGATAACTGGGTCTCAGTCTGGGCTGCACATTGCAATCACCTGGGGAGCCTACTGGATTCTACTAGAATCTGAGCACCATTAGAACTTAAGCACACAAAGAAAAGGGTTATCTATTTTATTCACTGCTACAGTGTTGATAAATACTGATGCCTGGACCCTACCCCACACTATTAAATCAGAATCTCCAGGGCTGGGTCCTATGCCTAGAGTTTTTTTTTTTAAATATGTGATATTAGTGTGCAGCGAGGGTTGAGAACCACTGTTCTACAAGATTTCTTCATGGATCACACCAGAAAGAGAATGGATAAGGTTTCACCTGAA